TTCTGGGGACAAGCCAGTATATAATTGTTGAATGAATAATGTTTTGCTAATATTTGCAGAGAATGACTCTGCTGGTTCATCACCAATACGCTGTGAGCTTTGAATTATGTTTCCAACAACGCCTTGTAGAGTGAAGTAAGATGGGGCCAAGGTGAGAGTTGTGAGGCTCAAGGCTTCTTCCACCCACCCTCCGTGTGACCTTGGCCAAGCTATTTAACCTCTAGGCCACAGTCTCCTCACCAGTAAAATGAGAGGTATATATACAGTTTTCCTAGCTCTAACAGTCTATGAAGCAAGTAAATATGGTTGATAGCAATACTGTATACAATAGGATATTATTGGCAATAAAAAGGAACAAAGTACTGATGCATGCCACAACGTGGATGACCTTGAAAACATGCTAAGTGAAAGAAGCCAATCACAAAGGACCACAGATTTTGTGATTCCATGTAAATGAAATGTCCAGAATAGGCAAACCCATAGAGACAGGAAGTAAATAGTGGTAGCCAGGGACTGGGGAGGGTAGTGGGGAGAGAGAAGGGAGAATTATGGTTAGGAGGTAAAGGGCTTCTTTCTGAAGTGACAAAAATGTTCTCAAATTGATTGTGGAGATGGTTGAATACTCTGAATGTCAGAAAAACAACTGAATTGTTCACGTTAAATGGGTGAATTATATGGTATGTGAGTTTAATCTCAATAAAGCATTTAAATAAATTCTCCGCGTTTTCATTTATGGTTTTCAGAGAGCTTGCTATCAACTTCTCAACATAATCCTGTATGTTTAAGAGAGACCAATGGAGGGGGATAACCATTTATTACAGCTACAAGGTCCCAGGCAGCGAGCATCCTAGTTTCTATCTTGGTATAGATAGTGTCAAATTAGACACTATTAGAGTGTAGGCTCCATAGTCAAACTGCATGGATTTAAATTCTGGCTCGGCTGTGTGTTAGCTGTGTGATCATGGGGCAAGGTATTTCCTCTGTTTCCTTATCTATAATGATAGCACCTGCGTCATGGAGTTGTGAGGATGAAATGATCCAATGCATGGAAAGTGCCCAGGACTAACTATCATTTTCACCGTGCTTAGGTGACGTCATCGCTCCTCACAGCATCCCCTGGAGGAAGGTGGCACTGGCTCTGTCCTACAGGTGAGAAGACTTAAGCTTGGTGACAGCATGGTTTATCCAATGTGATACTTATAATCAGGGGTAAAACCATGACCCAGGTCTAAGCATTCCAAGTAGCCTGCTTTATCCTCTCTTTCATAAGACACATTGAGCTTCAGGTCTGGGAAACATTTGTCCAAATGAAGCTGTACTCACTCCCCTCATGGACTCCCTTGTGTTCAAGGTCAGACATGTGCAAGATGGCGGTGGTCATCCATGATCCCTTCTGTAGCCATAGCATATGGAGTGACGTTAGCCCCTGGGACTTTTTTCCATCGAGCATCCCCCTTTGTCGGTATTTAGTTAAACGCATTATAGGTGCAACAGAAACCCCAAGGGGCAAATCCTTTTAGGTAATCAGAGAAGATGTTTTCTTAAAAGAAACTTTATCCTTCAGAGCAGTGTTAGGTTCACAGCAAAACTGAGCAGAAGGTACAGAGATTTCCCATATACTCCCTGCCCCGCAAATGCATAGCCTCCACCACGATCAACATTCCCAACCAGAGTGGCACATTTGTCATGACGGATGAACCTGCATTGACACATTGTTATCACCTAGGAAGATTTTTATAAAGCTCTTGATTTCCTAGTTCATTTCTGTTCTATGCCTTAAATAGTTCCCATTCATCTTGCTGTGGGGTGAGTGAGTTGACTTTGCCGTCTGTGGAGTCCCCTTCTGGCTGTGTGAAGGCCTCACAGAAGCCAGGAAGCCAGCGGCTGCTTGGCACACGAGCAGTTCTCGGCCAATGAAGCCCCAGCACCAGGGTTGTTACACTGGTGAGAGTTCGTCTCAAGAGTTTTCCTCTGTAAAATATTATTTCTCCAGGATGTCCAAGTTTCATAGCTCATTTTCACTGAATTTCTTTCTGGCTAAGTTTCCTAAACA